TTTACTCTTGGTGCTCAGTCAAGAGTGTTTAATAAAGTTAAGGGAATTAACTTAGAGCTTAGGTAACTAAAGATCAGATACGTAAAGTGACTGGATGTAAGCTATAGAAAACACAGGAAACAACTGTATACACACACACACAACATTTATTACTAACTAAAACAAACAAACAAATAACAGCAAAGTCTTTTCACCCGAAGCAGCAGATAATCTGTTAAATTTGGAATATTGGTCGGAAGGCCAATTATAATCATGAAACACCCGTTTAGAGACAGAAGCTTGATACTTGCAGTTTCCCGGGTGCAGCAGCGTCTGATACCTGATGGAGAGACGAGGCCTTCAGCTTCAGAGCGGGAAGATCAGGGTGTGGCAGTCAAAGTTTAGAACATGGAAGACCAAGTGAGCAGCTCTACTGCAGTTAGAAGAAGCCGCCAGAGAATGCTGTTGCTTATCGGGTGAAGAGGCTCTTTAATAGTAAAACTACTGACCAATCACAGCGAGCTCCGCTCCCAGAGGGGCTGTTAGATATGATACCCAAGTATCACAGGGAGGTCGTGAGGTGGTAATGAGTTTTGCTCTGAAAGTAACAATGTTCCTTCAGAACTATATGTATTTGTACTGATGCAAAGTTGAGCTTGTAGGAAATGAATGTGTCACATGTAAAGCTTCATGGGGAGTGTAAACATGATAAATCTATCTCTGATGGTTACAGAGATAACACGATGCTTAGGACATGGTAATATAAAAAGCTGATAAATTAAAGAAGGACTTATCCAACTGTAATTAAGCTTTGGAGTATTTATCAGGACATGATATAACATAACATTTAACAATTATACTTAACACAAGATAATAAGGCACATCTTCTGGTGCTGTGTCTTATTGTTTATCCATGAGTTCAGTTTTTGCATGCCACAGGAAATGAGGGGTCAGCAGAGCAATACGTTAAGCCCGGGGCACTTTATTGCACCTGGCCATCTGTTAAGGTCTGCATGGTTGAATGTTTTTCTTTGTCTTCCCCCAAAAGCTTCTACCAAAGTTAGATCCTCTGATAGGTGATAAAGGAATTCCTCAGGGAGCCCTGCTTCCTCACTCCTTCGAGTTTGCAAAGCTGATTTACATGGCCCTGTGACCTGCAGGACAGTTCTGTCTTTTTTATGGCATGTGACTTGGATGCTACAAAGTTCAAATGAAGTTTTTCGAATCCTTTTGGGCATCTGTGTCTGTCCATATACTACACATGCATTCACACTTTGTGCAGAATCCAGCTTGTGACTTTGGTTTGTTGCCAATGAAACATGAAGCAAGAGAATCTATTTTTGATCAATTCCACAACAACCGTGAGAATAAATGTACTTTTAAATATGAAAGACTTTGTCACAAAAACAGTATCTACTCATTTATTACTTTTAGACATATTTTCCTGAATAATTAACTCATATGGGGGTTTA